GGCGAAACGTCTGGGAATGTACCACGTCCACGGTTCAACTTTGGAAATGATGATGCATACAATGGACTCCCGACTGGGTGCGTTCCTCTAAGTCTTCCTACCAATATGACCATGTTGCGAAAACAAGTTTAAACAACTTCTATACAACGAAAGGAGACTGCCACCACACAAAAAGGCAAACAATTTTGGTCTTCATACCTTCGATTAAATTATAAAGTTATCATCAAAGACGTTCCCAGGTTACTTTAAAAAAAACGTTCCTCTTAACTGGGGCTATATACCGTGAACCACTATGTTCTACTCAGTACCAACATTTGGGAATATTTCTATGTATTGTGTGAGTTTTCTAAGCTTACTAAATGGTTTCGCACAAGCAGGATATGAAGAACTAGACAGACTTTGCCTGTCCGCTAGATTTAATAGAAAAGGACGTGGCTAGAATGGGGAATAAGTTTCAAGAATGAGAGTGTGACCGAACTAAATGAAAGACTTGAGGAGAAAGTAGGCCAACCAACATGCAGAGGAAAACATTTAGCTAATCAGAAGTCTCATTCCATAGAAAAAAAAGCAACCTGCAACTATTCATGTGTACAAGTGTACAATTGAATTGGAAGCCTATTAGCTAGTGCGAACGAAAAGGCGAACTACGGGAAAGAAGAATGTGGGGCACAAATTAAGATGATATCATAGGTTCGAATTAAGAAGGTCGAGTTGAGATATGCATGCAGAGTGGAATAAATAGATAAAGTAATGAGTGTCGTAGCCAGAAGCAATAGTCAAGTTAGGAGGCTTAAGAAAGAGGGATTGTTTGAAGCCTTTTTAACCATATATTATTATTAAACCTCCCCTTGTTGTAATGATGGTGCAAAGGTTAATGAAAGACGTTTGTATCAGTCCACTGTTAAGAGCTAGTTGTGGTCTAAATGGAGCTTCAAGTAGAGAGGCAATCGTACCAAAATTTGACTTCTACTGAGCTAGTTAGGGGTGGGGCAAAAAGAGATACGTGTGTGTTATATGATATATGGGATTAGTGAACTCGAACGAAAGTGAAAAGCACCCAAAGAGTTGGATTGTAAAGGGATGAACGTCTCATTTGCATCAGAAAAATGCTCAAAACACATCGACTGTATGAGAATAAGCGGAAGCCAAGTTTAGCCGAAACTATAAGTATTCCCACGAGCTATGTTTAGGAAGGGGGAAGGGGCCCAGGCGATCTTCCGATCAGCAAAAGAGATGTACATCGGTGGAGGCAAGGCCCGGCTGTAGGGGTTTGGTGCAGACAGCTAGCCAGTGATTTGATTGGACGGAATTCTGACCTATTGAATGCCGACGGCCGATCTGACATTTGATTGGTTCATCCTACCCCTTCCTGAAGATGGTCCTACTCTGCTCCAGCGTGTATCGTTGCAATCCTCCTTCTTTGGCCAGAACCTTCCACGAGCACTCGGGTTTCGCTTGTCCTCCTGCGCACACTGCGTCGTCCATTCGTCCGTGTACACCCATGGCGGTCTCCAATCAAAAGGACTACCTCCAAGTAGCCTGCATCTCAGCATAGCCTCAGTGGGGCCATCTGGTATGGCGGGCAGAATGCACAAAACGTGTGCTTTGCTTCGCCCTTTCCCGGTTCTCCTCGTCTGCACCGGTCTCGTGGTGTCGCTGCTCTCGGTAGACCAGTCGGCCGGAGACGGAAATCCAGCTGTCGCCGGTCTCACAGCTGTCGGCTCCGATGGAGGCGGCCGTGGCGATCTGCTCTCGGCTCCATTCGACGCCAGCTACCTGGAGAACAAAGCCGGAGTGCCCAACTACCACGATGACGACGAGACCAAACAGTGCTCGCCGATTCGCGAATCCGTCTGCCAGGGCCTGCAGTATTCGGACACTTTGATGCCGAATTGGGTGAAGATGATGACGCAGACAGAGGCGGCCAAGCGGATGCACGACTATCAGTCGCTGCTGAATGTGCAGTGCTCGCACTATTTGAAGTTGTTGCTGTGCACAATCTACTTTCCCATGTGCACTCCACTCTTACAAAAGCCGACTGCACTGCACCCATGCAAGAAGCTCTGTCTCCACGTGAAACGCCAATGCGAGCCGATCATGAAGAGCTTCCAGTTCCCTTGGCCAGACGATCTGGCCTGCCACAGTCTCCCCGACTCTGACGTGCTTTGCATTCAACCGAATAACTATTCCTTGGACGAACGCAGAGCCCGACTACCGAGTCTTCTGCCCGTGGCAGCGTCAGGCCTGCTCGAGAAGCCGCAGGTGCTGTACGAAATGACTGACTCTGCCTGGCGGCCCGGCCACATGTCGGCGGATTCCGTCAAACTGGGGCAGTCTCGGACACTGGCTTCCGGCGGTCCAGGCGGCGCCGGCCACAACGTCTATCCGCGGCTTGATGAGCTGTTGAAAGGCAGGGACGACAGTCTCCAGGCGATGGCGGAACAATTTTCCCAGGCTCTGGGTCGTAAAGACGCCATCGACCCGCCGGAAGGACTGGAGCCCAGGGGCCCAGGCGCCTCCCACTGCTCTGCGGCCGAGTTGCCCATCGTTCACGACACCAACGACACCTGCCTGGTGCATTGCCATGCCGATCTGCTGTATCGTCGGGGCGACAAACAGTTCGCCCGCCTGTGGACGCTGGTGTGGTCGGTGTTCTGCGCCGTCTCGTCGGCTCTCACGGTCATCACTTTTCTCGCCGATCGGCCAAGATTCCACTATCCCGAACGACCGATCGCCTATCTCTCGGTCTGCTTCCTCGCGCTGGCCATCGGCCACCTGCTGGCGCTCGGGCTGGGCCACGAGCGTGCCGCATGTCGGCCCGTGCAGTCGATCGATCCGACGGAAACGGAAACGGAAACGGCCACTGCCAGCGCCAGCGCCGCGACGATGGGCCCAGGCGAGACGGGCGAAAAGCGCCAACTGTTCTATCTGGTGCGCTCGGGCCACGAGGGCACCTGGTGCACCATCGTCTTCCTCATCGTCTACTACTTCGGCACAGCCAGCCATCTCTGGTGGGTGATGCTGAGTCTGGCCTGGTACCTGTCGGCCTCGCGCAAGTGGAGCCACGAGGGCGTCGAGTCGGTGAGCAGCGTCTTCCACCTCTTCGCGTGGGCCCTGCCGGCGCTGTTCGCCGTCTTCCTGCTCATTCTGCACCAGATCGACGCCGACGAGCTGACCGGCGTTTGCTCCGTCGGACAGGCCAGTCGGCCGGCCCTCCTGTTGGCCGTCATCCTGCCACAGGCCGTCTGTCTGTTGCTGGGCCTTCTGTTGCTGGGGCTCGGCTTCAGCGCCGTGTTCAGAGTGCGTCGCGACCTCAAGACACCCTCGTCGGCCGGAGTCCGGCTCGACGAGTCGGCCGGTCCGGCGGCCTCGGGTCCGGCCAATCGTCGGCGTCTGGAGAAACTGATCGCCAAGCTGGGCGTCTTCTCCATCCTCTACACAGTGCCCGTCTTCTGCCTGCTCGCCGGCAACCTTTACGAGTACTTGAACCGTCCCGCTTGGCACTCGGCCCTGCGGCGTCTCCAGGCCAGCCGGCCAGACTGCCTGTCGCCC